AGTATTTTAAACAAAAAGAAGTTCATATCCACTGTGTGTACTTTTACAAACACATACTGAAGCAGTCATTTCTTTATTAAAAAAGGTTTTTAATGTCTCTATTTTGATTAGGGTGTCCTATGGTCTTTAAATTAGAGGCTGGTTATTACACACCCCAGTATACCAGAGAATAATTTCAAATGGCTGTAATACATTTGTAAACAATCATGGTGATACCTTATCTTTGTTGCTAAATCCTAGATTCAAAGTCACTGAAGTCTATGTTTAGACTGCAGTCCAATTCTTTCAGGAATTTTAATATTAGAGATTGTTTTCAGGGTGCATCATGACATCCCATCTAACAACAGTTGCTACAATTATGTTTTTGTTTCTTTGTATAATCCCAGCTTTGCACAAATTCTCATAATCAGGAAAACAAAATAGATCAATTTTGGTACAAAGTTCTATAAAAGACTGAAAGGCAGATAAATAAATAAATAAATAAATAAATAAACCCACGAAAAACTACTGTCCTCTGCAGTTTTATATTAGGCTGAGTTTCTCATTCAATTTAATTTGAGTAATTAACCTATTCACAAATTATGAGTCTATGAGGAAGCCCATATTTATTTGTTTATGATAATCACTCTCCTAATTCTTTTATTATTTTCTTCCCTTCTCCCACTCTTCTGTGATAAGATATGAAGAAATGTACAATATATATTAAATGCTAAAAAAAAGATCTGGATTTCATTCTGAATACTCTCCAGCCATCCTAAATTTGTCAGGAAAAGGAGTTTGAAATTCCTGAGCAGAATATATAGATATATATCTATAATGATATATATCTATATGGTATCAGAGTATCTGATACCAGCCAAAGCTGAATACAGAATGCATCCATGATTGTTTTTATGTGTAGATTTTTTGCTGAGAGGAAAATCTCCTTGTTATTCCGTATGTGAATTATCTTATGAATAGTATTAATCACCAGAAAATATATTAGTTACTACTGCAAATAGGGTTGTTTATAAATTTCTATCCTAATCCCTATTCTAGTCACATTTGTCAAACTTCAGCTTTAATTTCTGCATTTGAAGAAAACTTTTAATTAACACATACATTTTAGTATTTTTTTTTAATTTAAGGATATTAAAATCTCTGAACCCTATTGTATGGAAAGACTGAAAGGAACCTAGGATTTAATGAATTTTTCAAACATTGTAATTTTGGTATAAAGGATTCTCTCTGCATCTGTTAGAGCTGTCAGTGTTATATGGTTTAGCCAACTTGAAAATCCTGGTTTATTTTGTACTTGGTAAATATATACTTGAATACATTCAATTCAAGAAGCAAGGGGCACAAACTGAAGCATGGGTGGTCCTGTCTGAACACAAGGAAACACTTTTTCACTGTGTAGGTGACTGAACAATGTCACAGGTTGCCCAGAGAAGTTGTGGAGTCTCCCTCCTCAGAGATTCTCAAAAGCCATCCTGGGCACCATGCTCATGGTGGCCCTGTTCGAGCAGGGGTTGGGCCAGATGCACTCCAGAGATTCTGCCAACCTCAACCATTCTGTGAATTCTGTATTCTGTATACTGTAGTGTACCATATTTTAGATACAGGTTATGGCTGTACTTTGTCACAAACCTGCTCATTATCCAGAGACTAGCAAAACATACATGCACACACACTCTTAGGATCAGGGATCTGATCCTAAGGCTGCTGATCTGCAGATCACAAGTGATCTGATCACTAGGCTGCTGCCTTGGCCCTTGAATGTCTTTCTCACTGGGCAGCAAATGATTCATTTTAGCTGCTGTCCTCTGGCTCAAATCTTGGCTAGTTTAATAAGTAAGCCTCCCTCCCTCTTTCTTTGTATTCCACTAAAGGATCCAAAGTTTGGTGGTTAAAGCACTGTTACAGTATGCAAATTCTGAGACAGGAATTTAACCCAGGTTATCCATCTAGGGTTAGATGGATGGATTTGACCCGTTATCCATCTAGCGATTTTCTTGTCACTAATCGTTGGGCAAAATGGTGACTTGATGTGTCTTCTAGGCTTTAGAAGTTTCAGCTCTGCTCAGTTGGAAATTATCCTTGGAGAAAGACACAGCTGCCTTTACCCAGAATGTAGGAGATGCAGCCTGACTCACAAAACTCTCAGAAAGGTCACAACTAGGTATATCCTGTGCTTAGCAATTTCTTCTCCTTCTGCTAGTTGGTCTCCTTCCATCATGAAGACTTTCCTGATTTCCACTTGGAAGCAACAAATTCTGTCCATAACGAGTCTTGGAATCTCAATTCAGTTTTCTGAGTAGTTGTCTGGCCTTAGTACATATGTTCCATTTATCTTCTGTCCTTTTTTGATTTACAGTATTTGAGCCACCAAGTCATGGAAAATTGTATGTATCTTTCCGTTGTGATGGCAGTGAGACTACTTAAGAGATAGCTATTACAACATATAGGGTGGGAAACCTCTGACTGAATGTGTATTGTAATATCAAATATATGGAAATTTATTTTGCCTATGAAACTTTTGCCTAGAAAGGCAAAATTTATGTGGGCTAATAATTCTTCTTTGTGGGCCATTTATCGATCTCAAAGACTTTACAAAGGATGAGTGCTAATTCTCTTTCTTGTCTGTCTCCATTGACAGAAAATGTCTTCTGGCCTAGTCTTTTCTGTCTTCAGATCTTGCAGTGAGCATAAAAGTTAAGTAACAAGAAACAATGAAGGGGGGCAGGGGTGCTGAACTGTGGCTTTCTAAATACTGCAGGACTGCATTTCTCTGACTTAAAAGTGCTAAATCTTATGTGAGCTGTTTTAACGGGATACAGAACTCCTCTGAGCTGATGAAGATACAGTCCACTCTCAACACACTTGTCAGAATCACTAAGCCTGCTCTCTGTACATCTAGACATGGATTGTATTAATGTTAATACCTGACAATTTAATATTTCTTATACTTCTTGTGCACTGCTGCTTTATATGTTGAATGAATACCCAACCCACATGAAAATTGTGGGTTTATCTATTATTTGCAATCTGGAAAAGTTGTGTGCATAAAAACTGTTTGCCTGCTTTTGAAACATATATACCTTAAATTTCTGAGCAATCTATTATACTAAGAGGAGAAACAAATAAATAAAAAAGTGAAAACAAAAAGACAACAAAAAAATCTAAAAAAAGCACTCTTTACTTAGAGACATTTCTTAAAAAATAAATTTCAGAAGTCAAAAAAATGAAGAAACAAATAAAACACTACTGCAAGTTTTTACATTTATATTTCAACAGATTTATTTACCAATTTGTTTGCTAATCCTATCAGCAAAACAGTGTGGTCCATAAGCAAGAAACTATTGGCTTTAGAATATGATTCATTCAGCCAATACCAATGAGGACTCTTGCTATGCAGTTTTATAGGCTGTGTTCATTTACTTTTAATGCTAAACTTTGAAAGCAATCTTGTCTAATTTGGGAATAATGGGCCATGAGTTACAATAACTCAGCAAAATATGTGCCATCTGGATTCTAAGTTAGCCCAGCAAAAATATTTATTTGTATGAAACAGCATAAAAGAGGTTTATATAATCTCATAGTAAACATCAAAAACAGACAAACAAATCTTATTTGAGTTGCTTGCCAGCTCTCACAATGCATAGTTGAGCAACCATATTTCTAAGAGTATAAATCTGTGGTGAGTATGTGACAGCTTTGTGAAGTATAGTTAAAGAGTAAGTCCATATCTAAACAAGGAATGAAGTGAGACCCATTGGCTGTTTTATGCTTCATTCTACTTTCAGCCAACAGCTTGGACAAATACATCAGCCAGGAAACAGAAATTCTCTTACATATAGTTACTGATGTAATCATAATAGGAAAAACAATTCATTCTTAAATCGTGCCTACAACTATTCAGAGAATCTGTCAGATGTATTATAATATCATAGTTTTATGAAAACCAATTTTTATCATCTCCTTGACATCAAAAGCTGTGTCTGAACAAGACAGTGTTCCAATGTACATCATGCTGAAATGTGGAACCAAGAAATAGCGAAGTTCTTATGTTAGCTGTAGGTAGTCATACAGACATCTAAATGTTATTAGAGCAAGGAAGAAAAATGTGGGCTTTGCAAAATGATTTTGATTTTACAAATCCATATCTCAACCTGCTGTTCTTTAAGGACAGTGATACTAGAATTTTGGATCTTCTGCTTTTATGTGCTTTGTATTATCTGCTACAAGTGAAGCTTGAAAAAGTGGTCTCTGACTTGTACTGAAATATCTTTTAACAACCATAAGAGAATGCCATAAATAGTTGCATACTTGCAACTGATTAAATGTTAAATACCTATTTTTGTTGCTGTTTCTTTCTTTGAAGGACAATGGTTGTCTCTCATTAATCTGTCATTAAAATAATGATTGTTCACAAAAAATGCAAAATCCCTTAATTTAATTGAAGAACAATGGGTTTTGACAAGAAAGGTTTCTTACCTGATTAATCAGAATGCTCTAAATAGATACAGTCCACAACTTGACTATCATGGCTTTGCTCCTTTTGTTAATTATGGCTTGTTTTAGGCAGCAGAGGAAATGAGTAGCTCCATGAAATTTAAAAAATTCTGGCTATTTTCATGGCTGCACAGAAAAAACTTCATTAACTCTTCCACTGTTAAAACCAACTCAAAATTTGAAGTGTCATTCACCCCTATTTATACACCAAAACAAACAAACAAACAGCAACAAACAACAACAAACTATACTATAAAACATGAAAAACTACACACCACCTAACCCTTCCTTATTTCATAAACACAGCTTTTCAAATGTATCTTTTATATTTTATATAACATTTAATTTTGATACATGCCTGTGAAATCAGTTCCTGAGACCAATACATCAAAACTGTAGTAAATATTGCAGGTCTCTTCTACCAAACAACTGTGAGGTAGAAGGATGCTACAGGGTACAAATGTTCTGAGTATCTCTGACCTGCTTTTTCTGTGATATTTTTTCAGTTTTTCTTTTCTAGTTGTTCTGTCCTCATTGTATGAAGACTTTGCTTTTCCCTGGAACCAAAGTGACTCTCTGACTCTGCAACATGCCTGGAGGTTTGTGATTGCATGTTCCTGTCTCTTTTTACTTACTCAGCCCACAAGTTTCTAGCTTCTTTGATGAAGGGATGAACTGATTGTCTCTGCATACCTCTCAAAACTGCACTTTCAGATTTTCTTTCTTAGATTTCTTTCATGGAGCCCTGATGACAGAGTCCAAAAACCTTCAGTCACACATTGAAAAAACACAGTACTAGAAGTTTTTTGGGAAAAAAAAAAAAAAAAGTTACAGAATGTTATTTTTCTTCCTTTCTGCTTGTAAGCAAACCCTTTTTACTTGTAGTCTTTCATTTTTTTTTTCATTGAAAGTATATGACCAGAAAGGATGTAAATGGTTTCAGTGAGACCAGAGATGCCAGAGATGAAGTGACTGCTGGAAAGTCCACTTCTGAATGTCACAGGTGGCAGTTCATCCTTAACATTTTAAAGGAAAGAAAATAAAGGCATGGAGAACTCAGTTTTCTTCATCATTCATTCCTTTATATAATGAGGTCATATTTACATTCTACTTTTCATTTGCATCACGTATCTATGTATAAATGAACAAACACTTCATGAATTAATATATATAATTTAAATATAATTAATATATATAATTTAAACCACAAGTTCTACAACATTTAAAAGCTTTTATCAAATAAGTTTTGGGTTTTTTGTTTGTTTGTTTGTTTTTAGGTGGGACAACTCACTGTTCTTGTGTTAAATATTCACTGTTACCTCTAAACACTTTGCTGGTGTAGGCAGCCAGACACTCCTGGATAAGATAATTAGGGTTCTGACTTGAATAAGCATCCAACATCCAGGAATGGCCTAATTCAGTTTGTTCACTCTATGAAGTGTCAAATCTTGAAATATTAACCCATAACTCATTAATGCCTATAAAGCCTGCCTATACTTTTTTTTTTTTTTTTCATATTTGACAAGTCAAGAAATTCTCATTCCTATCAACTCTTGACTTTAAATCTTTTGGATGTAAATCTGTTAATTACAGAAACAATTCGGTAAACTAGATCCATTTCTCTGGGTTGCTACCACAGATTTTTGCCTTAAAATACAGCAAATGCTTACTAACCTTGTCACTAATGTATTTGTTGTGACATCAAGAATATATATATACATATATATGTATAAAGAAAGAAAAGGCATGTGGTTGAGATAAAAATAAGGAAAAATAGAGCAGTAACAAGAAACCCACAAGGATTTGGGTAGGCTGTAGCCTTCATTCTGGAGCACACAATTTCAGTGTAATTATTGTCATTGGTGAGAGAGGGAAGGCTTATCACAAAAACAGTAACAACATTGCCAACATTGCATTACCTGAGAATTGTGGCTCACAGTAAAAAATAGCAGAGTATCACACCAAACATGCTGGCCTGGCACCCCCTTGACAGGTAAAATGTAGGAATATAACCAGTGTTGAAAGTACCTGCTTGCAGCTAGCAGCAAATCACCATAGCAACTATGGCATTAAGAATAAATAAATAATAATAAAAAATAAGTAAACTGCTAGCAGTTCAAACCAACTTGGGAGGCTTTTCTTTTTCCTTTTCTTTTTCCTTTTCTTTTCCTTTTCCTTTTCTTTTTCCTTTTCCTTTTTTTCCTTTTCCTTTTCCTTTTCCTTTTCCTTTTCCTTTTCCTTTTCCTTTTCCTTTTCCTTTTCCTTTTCCTTTTCCTTTTCCCTTTCCTTTTCCTTTTCCTTTTCTTTTTCTTTTTCTTTTTCAAGAAAAATGCATTTTATAAATAGCAATTGTTTGTGAGAAAAGGTAGTGATACTTCTCAATATATATTTTTTTGTCACGGTACTTAAAGAAACAGGTCACAAACTGGGAAATGGGATGTCACAGTGCTGCTCTGTATTCCATGCATTAGACATGCACTGTATTCATTGATAGCAGTCTATACTTTAGTTCAGTTTGGCTCTCAGCATCAACACTTGGTGTGCTTATTACTTTTTGCTGCAATTGAATAATTCAGTTTCATTGTTTTAGCTGGAATACATGGCCTGTCATTCTATTCTCATGGATATTCAATTTTTGGTAAATGCCGACAGGCAGAATTGAATGAAGTCATTAAATGAACTTTAAGAAACTATACGATACCACAGACATGAGAGGTATCTTTTATTTCTAATGGCTTTAAAAATTCAGAAGTGTTTTATCATTGGCATTAGAACTGAGTTTTTTTCTTCATATCAAAGGTTTCTCCAAACTCCCATTTCACTTTTCTGAACAAATAGCTGCCCAAGGTGAATGCATTAGCAATGTGTAGCACTGAAATGAGTGATACTATTGCAGTCAGCTGTCTGATTATTCAGCTGAGGAAATAATCTTGGTTGAAAATGAAGTAAGCATATTGAACTTTGACAGCTTGTATTGTACTCAGCCATAAGCTGCCACTACCATGAAGAAATGGTTATGAACTTTGATATGCTGCCACACTGAAATTCCATGTAACAGGGAGAAACCTCTGCAGGACAGGAAAGGGCTTCTGAGGGCTCACCCCACAAGACAGTGGAAATAAAATGCTGATAATTATTAAGTAATCTTTATAGCCTGTTTAGTCTTGAATATTTTCCACATATTAACTTTGTGATACAATTTATGAGTTAATGTTGCAAAAAATGTTACCACTAGATTTAATGAAAGTTAGCCATGAAAGATTACATGAAAGTTAGCTGTTCTGGTAAAAGGTCTTTTACAATTTTCTAATATATATATATGTATTAATGCACTCATATGGGAATACATATATTCTCAGTCTCCATATAGTCCATTATGTTATTTTTGTGTGTTTGACCAGACCAAAATCTGCTCTTAAATTTAGTTAAGGTCCTATCAGTGCTATCTCACAACTGTATGTTATTCATGATTTGTAATGTTTACAACAACAACAGAAAGAAGTAAAATAAAACACTGTATATGAAAATGATGAATTTTAAGGGTGCTAAAGGTTCAAGTTAGCCTTGTATAGTTTATGTTTTCCTCATAGAAAATGTAAACTATGTTTAAGCTATGTGTTTTTTTTTTCTTTGAAATAAGACCTTTATTTTTGTAAAATGCATTGAGATATTTGCTAGTGTAAACAGATGAAAATGAGCTCTTTTTTTTTGCATCAGAATCACGACTGTATTGGCATTTAAAATGCAGTGATTACTCTAAAAAGTGTGAAAGCTGGAATGGGGGCATTTTAAAAAGACTTACGGTAATTAGAGTTCTGTTCTATAGTGAACAGTATCTGTGGAACTAAAGCAAGTAAATACTTCTGGTAATTATTATTTATTGATTCAGGCAAGTTCCACACAACTGAAAGGAAATATAAGGAAGCCAAATAATTTTAGGTTTTGGCATCCTAGCCATTTATTTCTGAGGATGAAAATCAGATTTTAAATTTTCACTGAAAGGACAGCTTTTGCCACAAATCTGACCTGTTGTCTTGCTATGTGATATTTTGTTTTCCTTTAGTTTGTATTCCTTTAAGAACACTTTAAAATGCATAGATAACTACTACGTGTTACATAGTGTTGCATTTGTCAGCTACAATTGAATAGGTATGCATGAGATAATTATATTTCTTGTCACAACAGATATTGTTCATGTCTCTTAAGATTTTTAGAAAGAATCCCTTCAATTAAACCTGGCAGATTTGCAAAAGAAGTTTTCAAATGTATGTCTTGTTTAAAAGGCATGTGTCATCATTGTGATGTGGAAATGAGTACAAAATTCACAAAATGTTCTTACATTAGAAACCAAAAAGAAAAAAAATAATAATATATACATATATATGTATAGTATTGAGAAGGCTCAAAGGTTCTATTTATTTCTTTCTTTTTCATAGGATAGAGTGCTCTAAATCCTTTCTCTGTTTTGAACTAAACTGTACAGGTAGGGAAAGGTATGTGTACCTTGAAAGTCTTTTATCATGTTTTTTCCACTCATCCAAAACTGTGCAAACATTGTTACTTTTCAGGCAACAAAGAATGCTGAAATTCTTGCTGTCCTTCAGGCTAAATTGGTACTGAATTTTTGGATGCATTCTAGTAGTTTCCATTACTTCTGTTGACACTATGAGGCTGAAAAGTAAGCCACACTCTTCTTCTGAGACACTGTGTTTTATTAAAAAAACAGCGTTAACTAATGTATGTGAAAGCCACAGCTGTCTGTGACAGCATATTGTGTTTTGGAGCTCTGCTCTTATTGAGGTAGTTAGCCTGGAAAAGAGTATGAGCATTTAGTGACAGTAATGACACCGGGGCTGGTGGATGATGGTGGCACATACACTCACTTTCCATGGCTGACTGTGTCTGCATTAAATAACAGGATCATTGCTTTACACTTCAAGTGCCAAGTGAAAAATATTTTTCTAATTGGCACATAAGCACTAAACTCATGATACTCTCCTGTCAAGGAACTAGGCAAAGGAAGTGAGACTGATTTGTTTCTGCTTTTACAGAAATTATGTTGAAAGGCAAAAGCTATTCGTAGAACATTACTCATGTATTAACTATGAGAGAGTGACAAATAATGCACTGCATAAGCCATCTACACTGGGTAAGTGTGAGAGTTCTTACCTCTTTACACACCCATTTTTCAATTTTTATGTATTAGGTTTCTAGCAGAGTTTGGGAAAGTCTTGTTCTTTTGACAGGGAAAGACCCATCAATACCAGGCTCATCATTTCAACAGAAGTTTTGTAATAGTCTTTTCACTGCCAATCTTTTGCCACATCTGAATTCTATATCTTCTATATTACCCTACTTTAATAATAAATAAATAATTATACATTTATAAACAATAAGTTCAGACAAATTCGTGTTAAATGTAAAATGACCAAGTCAAACTTTTACTTGTCTTTCACTCTGTATTTGTGCACCAGTATGACCTAGTTGTGATAGTAATTTAGAAAAACGCTATGACAGAGCTTGCACTCAGATATGACAATGATATACATGTAACAGGTTTAAATTTAAAAAAATATATATATAATAATAATAATAAAAAGATTTATATTTGTCTATACATTTAAGCATTGTATCTTATTTCTGGGTTATTTTTTGTTTCTATATTTTCAGCAAAGCAACAAACTGAAAACAAACAGCCCTGGGAGCAGAGACTGAAACTGGCTTCTCTGACCTCTCAGGTGACTTTCCTGACTTGTAAACCAGAGAGATGTCGTTAGCCCAATTCATCTTTGTTTCTCATAGGCAAGGTGAAATAACTTCTCCACAAGGGATTAAGATTTTGCATCCTTTTTCAAACAGATGAAAAAGTGCAACATGACAGAATGTAAAGAAAACAGTTGTGTTTTTTTTTAAACACTTTTGTTAGAATTGTGTTATTGTTTAAGTTATTTGTAACTGCTTTCAGTATTATAAAGGAATATCTTAAATCCTGTTATTTCTATTTGTGGCTTTCTGAAACTACTTTGGCATAAGGAATATTCAGGAAGGAGTAGAACTGTAAGGAGATATATATATATATATATATATATATATATATTTACCAGGATATTGCTCACCTTAAAAGGGAGCATTCCCTTTCCTCTCTCCTATCCTGTAATTTTCACAGAGACAGGCTGCTATCCAGCTGGCTTCTCTTGATTAAAAGCCTTTTCTCACCATCTTTTTTCACTAAATGAATGGCATGAAATATTAATAATTTATGGAGCAGGGAATATATAAAATCTCCAAAGGTGAAATTAGTTCTACAATATACATGGGCTCTATGTTTGTCACAGAAATGATGCATTCTGTGATTTTAATGAGGGAAAGAGTGTGATTTTCTTTTTACCTCTTTTGAACATTAAGAAGCTTTAAATTTTCTAGTGAAATTTTTTCCTGTTTAGTTCCAGAGGAAAGTCTGAGACATGTTCCATTACTTCAGGACATAATCTGAAGTTAATAGCAGGACCCTCTCTAGGGTTTATGGTTATTATCTCTTATATTTTATGAAGGGGGCAAAGAAGTGGAGTTACTATGTTATGAAGGGCTGAGGCATCTGGCACAATAGTACCATCATGTTGATTTTCCTCACCATAATGGCTATAAGGAGATGAGCTTCCAAGGCTACTAGTTGATGGGACCCTGAAAAGGGATCCAAATGAATCTATTGAAGCCAACTGGAAAGTATCCATGGGTTTTGATTCTTTGTTGCAGTTATTAGCAATAAGAAAAAAATCACCTCCTTTGTTAAGGTGTTTTAAAAAACAATTAAGTTATCTTTATTGCAAATATATAAATATTGATAATGTGAACTTTGATTTTTTACTTTTATTGTTACAAACTTTGACTCCATTAACATCTGCCTTCAGACTGGAGAATGCCTGAACATGTATTTCTTAAGATGTGGATGAAAAACTACTTAACATGCAAAACACTACAAAGTAGGATGGCACAATGCAAATGCCTGAAGCAATTAAGAGGAAACGTCTGCTTTGTTCTCATCCTTTAAGCCTCTAGCACTTTCTAGCAGGTGGCAGTATAAGAATATATTTGGCAGTCCTTTTTGTTCTTGCATTAATATTGCCACTACTGCATTTTGTTCCATAATGACACTGGAACATTTTGCACATCAACAACAATGAAGAGAAAATGGAGTATATTATCTGACTATTGCAATGGTAGGAATATACAGTTATCTGATAATATCGTGCTGCAGTAGAGAATCTTAAGTGACTGGTAGAAGTGGGTAGTACCTGCCATAGACTGGTGAAGAGTATATGTAGTGCCTCGCTCATGAAACAGAATAACTATGAAAATTAGAGTAATTGCTTCTTTGCAAATATATTAGGATAAAATTTTAGAGTTCTTGAGGATCACATATACCTGCAGCTGCACGGTAAATTGCGTTCTAAAAACCTGTAAAGTCAGAGTATGTTGGTCTTAGCACATCAAATTGATAAAGCATAAACTTTGCCTAAGGTTAACCTAAACTTGCAAAATAGTGACATGCACATTCATCTCAAAATTTTTCTTGCTTTGTACACTTCCCTAGGCAAATTAGTCTAAATTGTTTGCCCTTTGTTGAGGATTTATTCTAAATTATTTATATAAAAATATTTACAAAACCTTGTAGACAAATATTTTGGAAGGATCAGTATGTCTGCTACAGAATTCTAAATTGTCTTGTTAAGGGCATCTCCTATGTAATTTTCTGAAATCATCTCAAAAGAGATGAATAAAATTCATGGAAAATGAATTCAGGATTCTACATACAAAAAGGAACACTTAATTAAGCAGATGGAACCTCTAAGTTCTTAAACAGTTCTTAACAAAAAGCTGGGTTTTACACTGTCCTGCTGCAAAGTAGTCAATCCTCATCCCCATTTATGTGTAACCCATAGGATGTGTGAAGTAAATCCTTTCTGTTATTGATAAGGTCCCAGCTGTGTTGTAAATGGATGTATTTAAGTATATGAAGAATGTATCTGGGAATTTGAGATTTGACATGATTGCTTAGAAATCTGATAAATTTAGTTTAAAGTAAAACTTAACTAGAATTACATTGATTAACAATATGCTTCCTGTGAAGTTAGTTCTTTTACATTATTGCTACTTATTTCTAGCTAATACTTTTAGTTCTTAGCATTTGTATCCTACATTAGCCGTGAGTACACAGCACCAGGTACTGGTGGTGCATACTTGGCAGCAGTAGCCATGGTTCTGGGTAGTTCTCAGTCTCTGAGCTTAAGGTGATCAGGCTTGAGAAACCTTTGACAAGGGATTTGGGAAGTGGACCACAGCACACTGGTCTTCAAATTTCCTCAAAAAAAAAAAAAAAAAAAAAAAAAGAGAGAGAGTATCTGCCCCACTGCTGTCTTTCTTGTTTTTCATTTTGGTAGTCGTCTTTCTTGTACCTAATTCAGGGTATCCTGCCGGTTTGCACAGCCTGGTCCTTTTCCTGTTCTTTGTTATCTTGCAAATTCATGACTTGGGTCACAATCAATACATTTTCCAGTGCCTACTGTGTGCAACTGCACAGACATTTTTGATTCTTTAGCAGTCAAATTGCTCACATTCTTCAGTAAAATGCTATTGCATTTGGCTAGGCCAATACACTGTTACAAAATATTTAGAAACTGTACTGGTTTACATTATTTTAGTACACATGCATTTGAGTTTGAGGCAAGCTACTATTAACTTGTGGTTTATACCAGCAGACAGTTAAACACTACACAGATAAAGATGATTTAATAGGATGGAAAAGGAAGTGAAAATATTAATGATAACAATGATAATAAAATTAAATATTATATAAATATATATAACAAGTGACGCACAGTGCAATTTCTCACCACATGCTAACCAATGCCCAGCCCCTCTCCGAGCAGTGGTCCACTCCCTGGGCAACCCTCCCAGCTCTTATTGCTGAGCATGATGCCACATGGTGTGGGACATCCCTTTGGTCAGCCTGGATCACCTGTCCTGATTGCATCCCCTCCCAGCTCTTGATGCACCCCCAAGCCTCCTTGCTGGCAGGGCATAACGAGAAGCTGAAAGGTCCTTATCTCTGTGTGAGCACTGCTCTTCAAAAATTGAAACATCAGTGTGTTATCAGCATTATTTTCATTCTAAATCCAAAACACAGCACATACCAGCCATTATGAAGAAAAATAACTCTACACCAGCCAAAAACAGGAAATAACTATATCCTAGTCAAAACATGTGTAATTTATAGGTGTCACAAGCTTCTGCTTTGATGACAGCTAGAAAGCCCTGTCTGGTTCTGGGTATGACATTAAAGAGAGATGTGGGCTCACTAAGGAGAATCGTGAAGAGAGCAATGGAAATGACCTAGAGGTCTAGGAAACACGGTTTATGGTGAAAGCTTAACTGGCAGAACTGGGATTGTTTAGTCTAGTTTTGTTTATCTTTATACTTCTGTAGAATCTCTCAGAGTAGTATTAAGGATGGAGAGGGTACTTACCCAGGCAGGAGAGGATACTACTACCACACCTGGTACCACAACAAATGGGAGCACAGGTACTGCTGCAGGAAGCACACCACACTAGCAGTAGCCCTTAGAGGGGATTTCAGAGGATTTATAGCAGATATAAAGGCTAAACTCTCTTCTTCAAACACACACAGATGTATGTGTAAAGGGTTGGCTGGAAGATGCAAAAAGGGACATAGGAGAATGGTGGAAGACCCAGACATCCCAGATGTTTTGAAAATTTCCCTTGTGATTTTATTGTTGCCACTCCAGTTGTGTGCTTCATCTTTCCTTTCTAGGGTGAAGTTGAACAAAATAGATTTATTCTGAAGAAAGCTATTTTCTGTAAATGAGTTACAGAACTCATGCACTTGCATTATAGCATGTAGGGGATTTTGCTGTCTGTTCTCTTGCTTGCAGGGCTGGGTATGGGGTAAAGCAAGTTTAACAGAAAGAAAGGTACATAGGACATACTTCAAAGGTTTTCACAAGGAAAATCTGAAGTTGTCTTTTACATGTCACTAAATCACACAAACCTGCTCCTTTAAGTAATCCAAAAATACTTTGGAGTTGATAGACTAACCTCTCAGATCATAATCTCTCTGGAATTGACAGAGTTTAATATCATCTCATTATTTTTCAGGATGTTAAAATGAATAAATGGTCTTCATAGTCTACCCTCATATAGGATAGACACATTAGATAGACAAAGAATAGAGTTTAGTTTACAACCTATATCTATGTCTGCTATAAACTGCTTACAGACTTTTGGTGAATTCATATGACTGCATCATTATCAGCAATTGTTGGACTGACCTGTACAAATGTACTCTATTTCTACTAAAGCTGTATGAAACATTTAGTTTAAGTTACATAAACCTTTTCAACTGCAAGGTTTGCAGTCCTTGTCTAGGTTTCTAAGGTTTTTCTCTCGGAAATCATTGCAATACACAGAAATAGAACTGCCCCAATAATGAAGGCTGTTTAAATAATACATATTTTTCCTTTCTCCCTGAGCGGGGTTGTTTTTTAAAACCCTTTACAATAGAAGGAAATCCATGATACCTATTAGGAATAAAACTATTTTTCCTTCCTCCTCTCTATGCTAGAAAAGCTGATTTAAAGAGGTGGAATAGTGTATATATACCTGCATTCATTTTTAATGAGATTTTTTCTGAAGACTTTTGTTCCTTTAGCCATTGCATATTTCTTTCTCTGTCAGTTATCTGCTGCCGTTTTCCACGTTCTTTCCCCTGTGGATTTCATTTCAGAGATGTTACAATTCTTACAAAACTTCCTTCTCAGTTGAAAGGGAGTTTTTGTTTTGTTTTGTTTTTCCCAGTCATGGCTATTGAATATTTTGTGTTTCTTAAAAATAAATAAAGAAAAACTTATGTTTAGAAACAAAGGCTAAACCAAGTGTAGTAAGTACATTTTTATATACTGCTTTATGCCCTC